CGGGTTGCCGCTTTGTTATTGAGGAGGTTCGGCAGTCTACCAAGTCACGGCAGGCCCCGCTCCGTGATCAGGTGGCGTGCTGGTGGAAGCGCGTGGCCACAGTTTTGAGTCATGCCTTGAAGCATAGGCGTCGTAAGAACGGTGCCCGCGAGTTAGTCAACATTCAGCATATCTGTCGTCAGCTTGTGCACGCTCGGCCGTCAGGAGTCCATCGTCTACTTCGACCTGGCCGTGACGCTGGGGATAAGAAGTGGGTCAAAGCGTTGCTCAACTTAGCCTCGCTCGTCGATCCCGTTTTGGACTCGCACTGCGATCAAGCCAGTCGGATTGCTCGTCGCGGCCAACGGCGCGCCGTGCACGAGTCCCTGGCGGGGTTTCAGGAGTGGGTCGTGCAGCAGGCCGCCGTAGGCCCATTGCACCGTAGCATGAAGGAGGACCCACTGCCGACGATGGAGCTGTTCGAAAGTTCGGGAGTCACGATTCACCCCAGAGATACCATCGACACCAAGGCTCGGCGTTGGCAGGAGCTCTGGGCTCCACATCCTGTCGATCGAGATCGTATGCAGCGTGCTTTTGAGGCAGCACGTGCAGCAGCGGAGCTCGAGCAGATGGAGCCCATCACTGAGTGGGACATCCGTCGCGCGGCTCACGCCATGAGGGCCACCACAGGCCTAGGCGCAGATCGGATGACGCCGATCGACGTCGAGAGGCTGCCGTCGGAGGCGCTGGTGGAGCTGGCCGAGCTGCTCAACACCATCGAGCGGACGCTGGCGTGGCCGCACCAGACGCAGCTCATCATCGGCAAGCTTTTGCCGAAGAAGCTGAGCGGCGACCGCGCGATCGGCCTGGCGTCGTTTCTTGGTCGTTTGTGGTCGCTCATTCGAGAAGGCCATGTTCGGCAATGGTGCAATCTTGTGGAGGTGGACTGGGACGCCGCCATCGCGGGCAATGCATCGCTTCGCGAAGCGTTCCACCGCACTCTGCAGGAGGAAGTGGCGGGGGCCTTGGGGATTCCCCATGGCCACGGCCTCCTAGATGTGAAAGGATTCTACGATAGTATTGAATGGGATATCTTGACGGATGTGGCATTAAAGCTATCAGTTCCCCCAGTTATACTGTTCTTAGAGTTGCCCCAATGTATGGCCCCCAGAGTGGCTGAACAAATGGGAGCAGTTAGTGAAACCTTCTTGGCTACATGCAGTATTATACAAGGGTTAAGATCTGGAACCCGATGTGCGAAGTGTATGACTCATTATGTAATGGCAAAAATCAGTTGCTCCCATCAAGGTGTGCCGCACCGTCTCTGGATTGATGACTTGTCGCAAAGTTTAGCTGGTTCTCGTCAAAAGGTTGTTTCTTCACTCGCAGCGCGTTTAGCTGACACCGCGGATGAGTTGAAAAAGATGAAGCTGCAGATTGCGCCCAAGTCTTGTGTGGTTTGTTCTCATCATGGCGATGCGAAGGAGATCGTCCGACGTCTGCGACGCCGAGGTTTCACTGTCCAAGCCCAATTACAGGCAGGGTTTCTCGGCGTTGACTTGGGCGGAGGAAGGAGGACGGCCAGATAAGCACGGACCAAGCGGGGGCCCAAGCAGAAGAAGCTCCATGCGAAGGTCGCGCGGTTCGCCAGGGCGTCCACGCGCTACAGGGTGACGTCTAAGCTCGAGCGCCTGGGTGCTCAGGCAGCAGGTACGTACGGGCAGGCCATCCACGGCACGCACGGGCAGAAGCTCCAGCAGCGCCGACGAGGGCTTGCAGCAGTCAGTAGTGCGGGAGGCAAGGGAGTGTGTATCACTTCTCTTCTGTCAATTCGAGCCCCTGGCCAAGACCCAGGGGTTGAACTTCCCCATGATGTTATCGCGTTGTGGCTGCAGCAGTGGTTTGCTCACCCTCACATCCGCCCATCGGTGTATCGTGCATGGCCGATGGTGCTTCAGCGGATGGAGGCCATGCCACCGTCTCGTCGCTCCAGATGGGCAAGAGGGCCGATGCCCGCAGTCATCCTCACGTTGTTGGAGCGTGGCTGGCATCCTGAGACCCCCACCAAGTGGCATCTGTCTGAAGAGATCGTGTGGGATTTCCCCGAAGCCGCTTATCACGAGCAGCCTGCACTCAATAATGTGAAGGCCTTTTTTCGATGATTTTGATCAATCAGCAGCAGCACAGTATTGGCAGCATGCGTCACGGCATTTCTGTGGTAGTGGCCTGCAAGGTGGAGTAGACAATGTTTCTTTGGGGCGGCTGCTCAAATATCTTGAAGCTCTTCCTCGAGGAAGGAGGTTGGCCGAGGTCATGGTTTCCATCTGTGCTGGAGGATCGTGGCCGCGCGAGCGTCGAGCAGCCGCCACCACCAAGCAGCAGATATGCCCCATGTGTCCTCGGCGCCGCCAAGAGGTTGAGTCGCCTCACCATCGAAGTTGGAGTTGCGAGAAGAATGCTGATGCCGAAGCATATCGTCGGTCTGACGATCTGCTTCCAGCCGCTGCAGCTCAACATGAATGTGATCAGGCGTTCTGGTTACGTGGGTTGATTCCCCAAAATTGGACGACGGTCACTCCCCCGTGTGCGGAGGAAGCATGGATCGGCAGCGGAATGTTCCGTAATGGAGTTGATGACGACGCAACAGGACCTGGAGCGCCCTCCCAGCCAGTCGTGTTCTTTGGCGATGCATCGGGGGGGCCTGACTCCAGGGACCCTCGCTTTCGGCGAGTGGGCTGCGGCCTAGTCTTAGTCAACAGCGAACAGGATTTCACCATCCAGGGCGTCATCATGGGGCCGTTGCCAGGCAATCAGACAGTTCCCAGAGGAGAGCTATACATGCTGTGGATGGCCATACGTGTTTCAATGGACCACCTTGTGTATATCACGGACAATCAGGCTGTGTACAATGGGTGGTACGACAAAATATTTCGGAATCCAAGTGGTGAGTCTGCTGAATTGTGGGCTCGTATCGGAGAAGAGCTGCGGTTTCGACCTCCAGAGCATATCATTGTACTCTTTGTCAATTCACATATGTCGGCTGCTGAGGCAGTAGCGGCAGGAGTTCCGAGTTGGTTAGTATGTGGGAATGCCATGGCTGATGTTGCTGCTGGAGAGGCGGCAAAACTGGCCAGGCTGCCCCAGGGAGATCGAGCCCGTGTGGCACAGGTGGAGCAGCGGGCCTTCCTGGTACGCATGCGGCTGCTACGAGCGGCCATCGACGCGATGGCGGCCGAGGAGGCTCTCACGAGGGCCCAGAAGGACTGCCGCCGAGGGACGGTGAGTGAGGGAGGGCGCCTTTCTCCTCCTCCTCCTTCCCCTCCCCCTCCTGTGCAGCTTTGCTTGCCGCCGCCGTGCACCGAGGCTGTGTCCATCCTGTCCAGTTCGCACGCCCTGGACGAATCGGGGCGTCGGTGCCGCAGATGTCGTGGCTCTGCGTCGATCTCCGAACGGAGAGTGTGGAGAGCGTCGCCGTGTTTCAAGCTTGTGGCTCTGGACTGCGCGTTGAGAACCCTTCCCCAGGGGGCGGAGTTGCACATCGCTGGGGGGTGGGTGCACGGGTCTCACAAGCTTAGATATCACCAGGATGTCGATGTGTGGTTTTGTGCTATGTGTGGCATGTTCGCTGATCAGCAGCTGCTTGGGTTGGGGAAGCAATGCGTGTATAAGACCACCCCGACTCGAGCTGGCTATTTAGCTAGAATCCGTGAGTCGTTGTGGCCCAAGGCCTTTACGGCTGCTCAGAAGGCCAAGAGAGCCCTGAAGGGGCTCCCCGTTAAAGGCGTCTGGGAGTGGACATCGTCCAGGGACTCTTACTCTTACTCTTACTCTTACTCCTCCTCCTCCTCCTCCTCCTCCTCCTCCTCCTCCTCCTCCTCCTCCTCCTCCTCCTCCTCCTCCTCCTCCTCCTCCTCCACTGGTGGTTCCCGAGATGCTGTGTGAGGGGTACGCCTGCGGAGGTGTGCGGGGGTGACGCGGTGCGGGCGCTGCCACCGGGGGCCTTCGCCGCGGCTCCCCGTGCGGCCCCGCTGCGCGCGAGGGGCGCCCGAGTGGGCGGGGGGGCAGGCGGCCAGAGCAGGGGTCCCCCTCCTCCTCCTCATCCTCCTTCTCCTCCTCCTCCTCCTCCTCCTCCTCCTCCTCCTCGTCCTCCTCCTCCTCCTCCTCCTCCTCCTCCTCCTCCTCCTCCTCGTCCTCCTCCTCCTCCTCCTCCTCCTCCTCCTCGGCGGGCGGCGGGAAAAGGGGGGGTGTCGAAGCGGAGCTGTGGGGGAGACCGGCCCGAGGGGGGCACAGCGACCTGGAATCGGCGACACATCGCCGATAGATCGGCGAGAGGACCCTGATAGCGAAGCCGCCGGGAGCGGGGGGGGGCTCGAAGCGGAGCTGTAGGGGAGACCGGCCCGAGGGGGAACAGCGACCTGGAATCGGCGATACAATGCCGATGGATCGGCGAGAGGACCCTGATAGCGAAGCCGCACGTTCGTGAGCGGGATGGGCTATCGTATCACGCCCCCATGGGCGATGACTGGGCGAGTGGGGGTCGATGCATCCCACCCCGCCTAACGATGCCCCTGAGGGGTGCAGGAGGAGGAGCGGGGCAGAAGCTGCCGAGCCGCGTCCAGGCTGGCCCGAGCGGCCGAAGTCATCCGAACGGGGATGACAACAAACTCCCAGGTTGGCAAGACGAGCATGCGGGCGGGGTGAAAGAGGAGAGAAACGGGGAGCGACGGGAGAGAGAGAGAGAAACAGAAAAAAACAAAACAAAAAACAACAAAAAAAAGCACAGACAAACATACGAATTGCCAGGCAGACAGACAGATAGACAGACAACCAGCCAGACAAACGACAGAAGACCAGCCAGTCAGCCAGCCGGGCAGACAGGAAGACAGACAGACAGACAGAAAGACAGAAAGACAGAGAGAGAGAGAAAGAGAGAGAAACAACAAAACACGCGTTCAAAGAGTCACCCAGCCCCGATAGCAGGCTGTCAGACAGTCTCTCCCTCCCTTTGTGCTCCCAGCGGCCTCCGGTGAAACTCGGCGGCCGTGCGCATCTGAGCGCTCCGCAACGCCTGTTGCCAGAGGCTCGGGGGAGAGAAAGAGAGGAAGAGAGGAGGGAAGGAGAGGGGAGGAAGAGGAAAAGGAGGGGGAGGAGGTGGAGGAGCATCAGCAGCAGAAGGATCACACGCAAAGGAGACAGCAGGAGCAGGAGCAGGAGCATGAGGAGCAACAGCAGCAGGAGCAGAAACAACAGCAGCAGGAACAGGAGGAGCACGAGGGCGGAGGATGAGGAGGTCTCCAGAGGCACAGAGAAGTCCCTGCAGTCCTCGGTCCTCGATCCCCCTCCCTCCTCCCTCCTCCCTCCTCCCTCCTCCCTCTTACTCCTCCTCCTCCTCCTTTTCCTCCTCCTCCTCCTCTTCCTCCTAATCCTCTTCTTCCAACTCCAGCTTAAGCTGAGGAAGGAACAACACGCGCACTTAAAAGCAACGGGAGCAGGACGGGGTGAGGGCAAGGCGGCGAACGCGCCACAGGTGTGGGCTCGGTTTTTCGGAACCCAGGAGGACTCCTGCTCGAGCGGGGGGCCCTTTTTCGACATCTCGCACCCAGGCGCACCCCGGAGGAGTTCTCGCCCCGAGATGGGCAGATTGGCCTGGATGGCAAATAGGAAACCTGTTGACAACTAAGGGCGGTGGCTGTCCCCGCCCCCCTTGCCACCACCCCCCACCGTCCCCCCCCACCGTCCCCGATGCATACCTACCTGCCTACCTACCTACCGACCTACCTACCAGCCTACCTACCTACATGCATGCAAGAGTGCACACATGCATGCATGCATGCATGCATACATACATACATACATACATACATACATACATACATACATGCAGCATGCATGCATGCATGCATGCATGCATGCTAACATACATACATGCATGCATGCATGCATGCATACATACATGCATACATACATACACACATACACTAGGCGGCGAGCTAGGGGGGAAATGTCAAGGGGCGGGCCTTCTCGGAAGGCTCGGAAGTCTCCAAGCCTTCTGAGAAGTTTCCCAAGCCTTCCCCGAAGACAGAAAAAAACTTCTCAGAAGGCGCAAGGGTTTCTGAGAAGTCCCGCCGCCTTCTGAGAAGGCCTTCTCCTTCTCAATTCCCCCCCTCGCTCGCCGCCGATACACACAGACAGACAGACCGACAGACAGACAGACAGACAGACAAACCGATACACGCACACATCCATACATACACACATGCATGCATGCATGCATGCATGCATGCATGCATGCATACACGCATACGTACGTACGTACATGCACACATGCACACATACATTCATGCATATATGCATCCATACATGCACTACAATACAATACATCGCACTGCACAAGCATTACAAAACATCATATTGCATGCATGCATGAATACATGCATGTATACATGCATACATGAACACCTTACAAATATACATACGCACATGCATGCAACCATACATATATATATATATATATATATATATATATATGTATATATACACATACAGATACCACTACATGTACATATACCTCTACCTATGCATACATACACACATAAGTACCTGCATACCTACATACCTGCATACCTACATACCTGCATACCTACATATATACGCACATGCGTACGTACATACATGCATGCCAGCATGCATACATACATGCATGCATACATGCATACATACATACATGCGTGCGTACGTACGTACATACACACATACACACATACATGCATGCATACATGCATACATACATGCACTACAATACATCGCATTGAACAAGCATTGCGATGCATTATATTACATACATGCATGCATACATGCATGCATACATGCATGCATGAACACCTTACAAATATACATACGCACATGCATGCAACCATACATCTATATGTATGTAGATATATACATACATGTACCACCACATGTGCATATACCTCTACATATACATACATACACACCTAATTACCTGCACGCCTACATACCTGCATACCTACATACATACGCACATGCGTACCTGCATACATGCATGCATGCATACACACATGCATACATACATACATGCATACGTACATACAAACGAACATGCGCACATCCATTACTACGTACCTACATACATGCATGCATGCAAACACACAAACACAACCATAGTTAAATACATACATGCATAGGCATGTACGTGTCAGCCTGCATACATACATGCATTTGTATATACATGCATGCATCACACTATATACATGAGCTCCTGCATGCATGCATACATGTATACATCAATACGTATATACATTACATATATGCACACATACATGCATGCATACATACATACATGCATGCACACATAAATACGTACATGTATGCATGCGTATACAGTTGTATACACAATACATGTACATATACATATACATATACAGCTACCGCAAATGCACATGCATATACACCAACATATCTGCACACCTACATACCTGCATGCCTACATACATACTCACATCCGTACACACATACATGCATGCATGCATGCATGCATGCATACATGCATGCACACATACATGAATGTGTACGTGCACACATGCGTACATATAGGCATGCATATATATACATATATGTATATATACATGCATGCATATGCACATATATACATAAATACATGCATACACAGAGTCGTATATATACATATGTATATACATGCGTATACCTATATATGTGCATGCATACATGCATGTGTGCATGCAGAAACACATACATAAAGGAACATACGCGCGTGCATAAATACATACATGCATACGGGCATGCATGCATACCTGTATACATGCACACACATACATGCATGCATACATACCTGTATGCATGTATGCATGCATACATACACGCACATGTGCATGCTTTCATGCGTACATACGTACATATATATATATATATACATGCATACATACATACGTACATACATACATACATACGCACGTACGTACATACATACATACATACATGCACGCACACTCACACACACACACACATACATACACACATACGTGCATACATACATACATGCATACATGCATACATGAATGCATGCAAACATACATACGTACATATGATGAAGTGAAAGTTTCAACGAACGGGTTGTAATGCAGAGTTAATGTTTGGTCCAATGAGCTCCTGCTGCACTCGTCACTCCATCGCCTTTTCGGCGTTAATCGCAGCGATGACGGCCTAAGGGGCCAAGGCGTGCGGTGACCCACCCAGATGAGCAGATGTTCTGAACACACATGGCCCCCGCTCCAGGGGACAGAGACGCCATGGCAGACGGCCTCATGCGCCGGCTGGGCCCCAGGGCGCTCGCAGGAGCAGGAGTGGCGCTGGGGCTGACAGCTCCGAGCGCGAGACAGGGCGACGCGGACTCTTGCGCCTCGCGGCAGGCGTCCTGCTCGTCGGCGCGGCCCAGCTCTGGCTCATGTGCCGCTACGTGGCCAACTGGTGGAGCCAGGTCTGCGGGAGAGCGATGAGTGAGAGAGAGAGAGTGAGAGAGAGGACGGGGCCCATCTTTTCCCGCCTTCTCTGTGTAGCTGCCCCTCGCGTCGACAGGGGTGCGGAAGGATTGGGGCCGAGGGCCAACGGCAGCTCTTGTCCATGTTGAGCAGAGCTCTTCCTCCTCCTCCTCCGAGCATGTGTTTCAGGAGCGTGTTCCGAGCATGTGTTCCTGCAGATTGAGGCCGCGTGGGAAGGCAGAAAATACGGACTGTCAATGCGACTTGGAAGCAGTCCGGCTTTGACATATTCACGTTATGCCAATGATGTCAGATTGATGTTCAGTGTTGTGGTGGCGGCAAGAGCGGTGGGCCTTCATTTTCCATCCAGAGAAGAGAACGATATTACACAATGTTCAGGCTCGCACCCCAAGGCCAAATCGTGAGCACATAGACGTCGGTGGGCTGCGCAACGAGACTCTGCCGTTCAGTGGGACGTAGAAATATTTGGGCTGAACTTCACATGTTCTGCATCAGCGGAGATCGAGGTGGATAAGCGCATTAAGGCTGCCTGGAAGAAGTGTGGAGCTCGCAAACAAGAGTCCCCGACATGTCTATACGGTTCATCATCGTGGGCTTTGATGGCGAAAGGTGTGGAACAACAGATCCGCAGCACCCAGAGACGAATGCTTCGTATGATTGGTCGAGTCTCGCGACGACGGGCACGCAGCGACGACAGCTCGGAGCGACGACAGGAACAACGGTCTGAGCGTGATGATCGTAGTGCGTGTGGTAGTGGGCACGATCACCTGAGGGGGGCACGAACCCAGCGCAGATCACTCCGATACGGAGCCAAAATCCTCATCCAGCTCCAATGGCAGCTCCGCTGATCTCGAACCCTGGCACGACTGCCTCATCCTCCCCCTCCTCCCCCTCCTCCTCCTCCTCCTCCTCCTCCCCCTCCCCCTCCTCCTCCTCCTCCTTCTCCTCCCCCTCCTCCTCCTCCTCCTCCTCCTCCTCCTCCTCCCCCTCCTCCTCCTCCTCCTCCTCCCCCTCCTCCCCCTCCCCCTCCTCCTCCTCCTCCTCCTCCTCCTCCTCCTCCTCCTCCTCCTCCTCCTCTCCTCCTCCTCCTCCTCCTCCTCCTCCTCCTCCTCCTCCTCCTCCTCCTCCTCCTCCTCCTCCTCCTCCTCCTCCTGCCGGCCAAGGAGGGCCTGCCCAACAGCAGCCGCTGCCGGCCGTGGACAGCCTTCGCGGCCCAGGGGGCCGCTGCCCGTCGCGCCCCGGCCGACAGCCTGGAGGGCGCCCCGTGCTCGGGTCGGCGGCGGGCGCGGGCGGCGTGCGCTCGGAGCTCCAGCGCGGGGTGGCACGGCGGGCGGGCGCGCAGAGAGGGGGGCAGGGGGGGGAGCAGACCTCCTGCCCTGGCACGCCGATTAGCGAATCGGCCGTTCTCGGTTCGCGGGAGGGCGTCGCGGCCGTCGTGTTTGCTGGTCCAGGTCCGTCGGCTTCGGTCCTATAGGCCGTGTGCACGAGAGGGAGGTTCACCAAATGAAGGGGCCCCAGGACACGCAGATAACTGCACACAAATAAAAGGGTTCCCAATATGTTCTCATATTTTCTGGGGTTTCCGTCTTCCCCCCACTGCCCATATTTTCCCATATTTTCTAGGGAATCGGCGATGAATTGTGTCTGTGTGTTTCTTCCCCTCCTGAGAGAGGGAAGTCTCTCCGCCGCCGAGGCAGAAGGGGCGGCCCAGGAGCACCTTCGCCGCCTGCCCCCCGTGGCACCCCGCGGGGCCCACGCTCGGCGCCGCCAGCTGCATGCACCGATTGTCGCGGTCCCGCCCAGCGGGTGACAGATCTGAGCCTCCTCCTCCTCCTCCTCCCCCTCCTCCTCCTCCTCCTGCTCCTCCTCCTCCTCCTCCTCCTCCTCCTCCTCCTCCTCCTCCTCCTCCTCCTCCTCCTCCTCCCCTCCTCCTCCTCCTCCTCCTCCTCCTCCTCCTCGTGGCAGGGGCGATCGACAAGTGCGTGCTCGGAGCTTCCCGGCGGCCGTACGGCCTCCTCGAGACCCGCCGGCCCTCGCCTACCCCCTGGCCGGCTGGGCCTGCGAGCGCTCGCCGATGACGTACCGGGTGACTGCCGCGTAGAACTCCGGCTGGGACTGCGGGCGGCGGCCGAGAGAGGGCGCGAGGAAGGGGGGGAAGAGGAAGAAGGGAGGAGTGCAGAAAGGAGGAAGGGGAAAGACGAACGAGGAGCCAGGAAGGAGTGAAACGAGGGACGAGCAACGAGGACGGGACGAGGAGCGAGGGGGAAGGCAGGAGGAGAAAGGGAGGCGGCAGGGGAGGAAGGGCGATGGGAGGAAAGGGGAAGGGGGGGGGGAAAGGGGGGGAAAGGAGGGTGAGAGAGGGGGGGGGAGGAGAGGGGGGAAGAGGCGAGAGGAGAAGGGGGGAGACGAGGGGGTGAGGCAAGGGGAGAGAGACGGGGAATGGGGACAGGCTTCTGCCTCGCCTGGCTCCTCCTCCCCGCCCCAGAGCTCGCGGCCCCGCCGCTGGCCTGGCGGCAGTGTCGGAGGACGTCGCGGGCCAGCATCCCGGTGCCTGGCCGCAGCCAGCCAGGGGAGGGCGGGGGCCTGCAGGGAAGGTTTCCCTCTGTTCTCGGGCTCCGGGGGCCATCGCCGGGCCTCGGACTCGTCAGAAGACGGCGCAGGGTGGATGATTCAGTGTCGAACGATCCCCACCGAAACCTCCGGCGTTTGTTCCCAACGGTGCGGCCGCCTGCTGAAACGATGTGTGCGGGGCCCGGCGGTCTCGGCCAGCGCGGCGGCCGGGCCAGGTCGCAAGTTGATGCTATCCGAAAGTCTAACAAGCCCAGGGCCCCTGACGAGAGAAACCGAAACAAATTCCTGGAGCGACAAACCGGCCCCCAAAACGAGTTGTGCGAGGCACCAGAGCTTGTTCGGAGAGAATATGCAGCCTGTTGACATGAAAAAGGAAGAGGAGGAACAGCAGCAGCAGCACGAGGACGAGGAGGCGGACGACGAAGCAGGAGGAGGAGGTGAGGCAGGCCTTTCCTTCCTCCTCCTGCTACGGACGCCCCATCCTCCTCCGATGACGGGGCGCAAGTCTCGTTTGATGAGAAGCCGTAGAGTGGTGGCTGGCGTATACGTTATGTTGTGCTTGATTATGTTCGGATCGATTCTGGACCAGTGAAATAGGTGGCATTATGGTAAGGTATGTTATGCTGTGGACTGGCCGGCGTGACGTCGTGACGCCTTTCACGTTTGCTTTGGCTTCTAATCGGTCGATGCTGCTCTGTTTGCTTCTGTGGCCAGCCTGGGTTTGGCGCGCATGTCGCGTATGATAGGCCGCCAGTACTCGGTCTCTGCCGAATTCTACTCTATCGCGTGTTGTTCGGTTCTGTTATGCTCTATGCACAGTTGTTTGTTTCTGTTCTGATCTCGATGGGGTGGCGTGACGTCGTGACGCCTGTCGCAATTGATACGTCGTCTAATCGGTCGTTGCCGCGCCTGTTCTTTCCTGTGGCCAGGCGCGGATGCTAGTGCGCGCTTGATTTGTCGTTGCTATACTTAGCAATGTTCAAATATGTTATGCTCGTTCATGCTCCATCCTGCAGTGCTACGGTATGTTATGTTATGCTGTCGACGGGACGGCATGGCGCCGTGACGCATGTCACGTTAGATACGTCGTCCGATCGGTCGTTGCTGCGCCTCTTTGTACCTGTGACCAGGCTGACTTCGGCGCACACGTCGCGTCTGATTCTATTATGGTACGGCCTGGTATGGTACGAAGTTCCTCTAAAAATTGATGATGTGTCTGTAAACATATGCTCTGTTATGCTCAGCCCTTTTCATTGTATGATTTGATATGATATATGCTCTGCGGAATCTTGATATGACATGCTACGTATGTTATGTCAGGTCCGGCTATGGTATGGTATTATTTGTGATGCATAGCGTATTGCAGAAAGTTATAGCCAATCATGCCATATCTGAATCGTTGACGTAGGGGTAGCAGTAGTACAACAGCTATGTGATGGTGTGCTTGTTGTGGTGGTATATTCGTTACATCATGCTTATTTAATAATGTCATAATGCGTTGTGCTTTATTATGTCTGTACTGTTCTCGACGGGCTAGCGTGACGCCGTGACGCTTGTCACAATAGAGACGTCGTCCGATCGTTCGTTTCTGTGCCTGTTTGCTCCTGTGGCCAGCCCGACCTCGGCGCGCACGTCGCGTTCGATTATATTGTAGTGCTAAATATGTTGTTGTGATTAGATGCTTTGTAATGTTATGAAATGCTGCGATCCTGCGTTATGGATGTTATGGTATGTCATTGTGTGAAATGGTATGCGCTGTTCTGCTACGCTATGATATGGTGTGCTCTGCCCTGGTTTGCTATGATGTGTGGTGTTATGGTTTGATATGGATGCTCCCTGATGGCATTGCATGCGTTGTTATGGTGTGTCCTGTGATGCCCTGTTCTGACATGCTATGAAATGGTATGCGTTTTTTATGTGATGGTGTTAGCATACATTGTGTTACGCGACGGTGTAATGTGGTAAACCGCGCTCTGTCATGGTATGATATGTCATGATATGTAATGGTATGTGTATTGCTGGTGTGTTACGATGTGATGTGGTCTGCCATGGCATGCTATGGTATGGTATGGAATCGTATGTTGTGTGATGGCATGACATATGGTGTGATGACCTGGTTTGTGTAATATAGTATTACATAGCTGGTCGTGTTATGATGTGCCATGTGTTGCGATGTAGCAGATGGTGCCGCGCTCTGTCATGTTATGACATGTCATCTATGCTGCCATGCTGCCTGTCCTGCTATGTGCGAGGTGCTGATGTGGTTTGGCAAGGTGTGTTACGTCATGGTATGTTATGGAATGGCATGGTATGCCAATTCATGATACATGTTACGTCTGATCCGATATGGCATAGCATGCGCTGTTATTGAATGGTGTGCTATGCTATGCTATGCTAAGTCATGGAATGTGATGATGTGGCATGTTACGTGTTTGGTATGTTCAGGCCTGCGGTGTGTTACTGTGGCATGCTTGCGTTGTCGTGTTGTGTGATGTTATGTGCTGTGATGCTGTGCTATGGTGTGCAGTGCTCTGTCGTGGTGTATTATGTTACGACATGTGTTGTCATGATATGGTATGTCATGTTCGGACATGGCATGTCAGGTGGTGTGGTGTTATGCGCTGGTATGTCAAAGCTTATCGTGTTGTGCTGTACTATGTTCTGCTATATGATACTGTTATGTCCTGTTATGATGTGTGAGCGAGGAGCGGGACACTCAGGGATACTCGGGTGACCTGGGGATCTGGCGGCCGCGGTATGCAGAGGGGCGCGAGGCGGGACTCGGGGATACTCGGGAGCCGGGGGATCTGGCGACCGCGGTATGCAGGGTGGACGGGTCGGGAGGTCTGTTCTAAAATCTAACGAGCCCAACCTGTCGGGTGGGGAAAAAAACGGTCCTGGGGAATGGATCCAGACCTCTGGGGACAACGTCATGAAAAAATCATGGCGTCGGGGCTCTTGGCTGTGGGGGAGGGGGAACGGGCACTGCAAGGGAGAGGGTACGGGGGCGGAAGGGAAGGCTGGCGGGGGTGGGGGGAGTCGGCGGCGAGTCCCGGGGGGATGAGACGGGGCGGGCCTGCTCAGAAGGCTCGGAAATCCCCCGGCCTTTCCCCGAAGACATGGAGCACTTCTCAAAAAACGCGAGGGGCGTCTGAGAGGTCCCGCCGTCTTCTGCGAAGGCCTGCTGCTCCTGGCTTCCGCCTCTCGCTCGCCGCCGAGAGAGGGAAAGGGGAGGTCTGGAGGAGGAGGAGGAGGAGGAGGAGGAGGAGGAGGAGGAGGAGGAGGAGGAGGGGGGGAGAGAAATAGGGGCCAGAGAAACAAGAGGAGCAAGAAGGAACACAGGGAAGGAAAGGACGGAGAAGATGGATGGATGGATGGTGCGAAGACGGAACGGGATGGAGGGAGCAGGAGCAGGGCCAGAGGGAGCCAGAAGCCAGAGCAGGATCACTGCGCGGAACTGTGGCAGCGGAAGGACCATAGGGAGGAGGAGGAGGAGGAGGAGGAGGAGGAGGAGGAGTAGGAGGAGGAGGAGGAGGAGGGGAAGGAGGGGGAGGGGAGGGGGAGGAGGAGGAGGAGGAGGAGGAGGAGGAGGCGGAGGAGGAGGCGGAGGAGGAGCACGACGACGAAACTCATTAGCAAGCGAGGAGGGGGTATGACGACGACCACGACGCTAACCTTACGCACGCACGACGACAGGACAAGGGAGACGACGACAGCACGGACGAGGACGAGGACCAGGAAGAAGAGGGTGAGGTCCATGTCGAAACGAGCGGGGGAAGGTGGGGATGAGTCCCAGCACGCCGATTCAACCTCGGGCTGCGCTGTTCGCAGCGAGTCCACACGGGCACTTTGCAACGCGTGAGCATGGCAGGCGAATGCCTGTGGCCAGCACGTTCAGAGTATCGGGCGCATGTCGCCTGCGTAAATCGGCCCGCCCTCGCATCTTTTTCGGGCGCCCGCAAGACTGCACAAGACGATCGCACCACAAGTAGTCTGCAATCTCGTCGCAGTCCTCCTGGGGGGAAAAGGGGGTATGAACGAAGGCAAGGGGGGGAAAGGTAGCTGAACGGGCAAGAGGAAAAGGATATGCACGGCGAAGTGGGATTGGGGGGGCAGGCGGGGCGAACTGGCAAGGGGACGCGCAAATGGGGAGGGGGAAGGGCAAGTGAGCGATGAAATGAAACGGGGCCTCAAGCGAGATGGCACAGCGACCGTTCGCGGCGGCTTACGCGGGCCGCCAGCGCGGCACGCTGCACTGGAAACGAAAGCGCTGACGCGCGACCTTACGCGGGCAGCTTACGCGCCAATGTCGGTGAAGACGGCCCCGCCTTCTTGCGTTTTTCAACAGCGGAGAACTGGGACCTGCGGCCCGCTCCGCCACGCCCCCCCTTCTTGCGCGGCTCGCGCGGGCTGCGGAGACTGAGCGGCGGGCCTCCCCCAAACTCCACGATAAACACTGGCGTCACCTGCGCATCGTGCGGCGCAAGAGGCTTCCTCATCCTCCTCCTCCTCCTCCTCCTCCTCCTCCTCCTCCTCCTCCTCCTCCTCCTGGTTGTCTTCCCCCTCCTCCTCCTCCTCCTCCTCCTCCTCCTCCTCCTCCTCCTCCTCCTCGTTTTCTTCCTCCTCCTCATCCTCCTCCTATTCCTCCTCCTCTCCCTCCACTCGGCGTGACACGTACCCTGGCTCGTCCTCAGATCCGCTCACAGGTGCGACCTACACTCCCTCTGGCCTGCGAGCCGCACGCAGCCCCTGACCCAGACCGGGGGAAAACAAGCCTGCGATCGTCACTCCCGGCCGCCTTCGCATTGCCAGGGCGACGTGAGCGTGTCAGGCCCGGGGCTGCGGCCACCCGAAGAGCTCCCAAAATCCACTTTTCGGTGGCCAAGACGGCCAAGAGGCCTCGCAGCCGCTGCCGCGTTCAGAAGGCTGTTCCTCCTCATGTTCCTCCTCCTCCTTTTCCTTTTCCTCCTCTTCCTCCTTTTCCTCCTCCTCCTCGTCCTCGTCCACCTCCTACTCCTTCTACTCCTCCTCCTCGTCCTCCTCCTCATCCTCTTCCTTTCCCTCCTCCTCCTCCTCCTCCTCCTCCTCCTCCTGTCCCTCATGTTTCTCATGTTTCTCCTCTTCCTCCTCATCCTCCTCCTCTTCCTTTTCATTTTCTTTCTCGTCCTCGTCCTCCTCATCGTCATCGTCCTCTTACTATTCCTCCCTCCTCCTCATCATCCTCCTCCTCTTCCAGCCCCCCTCCTCCCCCTCCACCCTCCTCCTCCTCCTCTCTCGTTGTTGTTTTCCCTCCTCCTCCTCCTCCTCCTCCTCCTCCTCCATCATCATCATCATCATCATCATCATCATCATCATCATCATCATCATCATCATCATCATCATCATCATCATCATCATCATCATCATCATCATCATCATCATCATCATCATCATCATCATCATCATCATCATCATCATCATCATCATCATCGTGATCATCATCATCATCATCATCATCATCATCATCAGCATCAGCATCATCATCATCATCAGCAGCATCATCATCCTTATCGTTTTCTTCTTCCTCCTACTCTTCCTCCTCATCATCATCATCATCAGCATCATCATCATCATCAGATTCAGCACCACCATCATCGCCATCATCATCATCATCATCATCATCATTCATCATCACCATCATCATCATCATCATCATCTTTCTTATCGCCACCATCATCATCAACAACATAATCATTATGAGCGCTGTTTTCCGAGAAGGCGAGCAATACTCTAGCCAAACACCAATGGCATTTGGCAAACATGATAGCATTCCGGGGCGCACTGGGCAAACCGAACTGACTCCTCTTGGCGGCACTGCTCACCCATTCGTAATTCTACGATATAACACCACCCCCGTCGGCTGATAAGCCGCATGTGGAGACGGGCTATATATATATGTATGTATGTATTCATAAATATATATATATATATATATATACCCCCCCCCCTCCAAAAAAAAAAAAAAAAAAAAAAACGGGGCAACGAACGAATGCGAAACAAGGGGCCCGTGCAGCCAAGCCAAGAGCCCATCCAAGCATCAAAGCAAAAGGTGAATGTGAATTGGGCATCAACGTGCAGGGGCCTCCCAACACGCGATGCACGATTTAACTGTCGAACAGCACCGAATCATGCTATGTGCTTAACATATGTTGTAGTAGACGTTTGGAATCGCACAAACGAGCACCTGGGCCTCGGTCGATGCTGAACTCAAGTCCCCACAAGTCGGGTCGCGATGTTATTCATGATATGTATTGGGCTAAAAAGCCGCAGCGGGCGCCAGCTCATGTCTTCCGTTCGCGAAGTGTTCGTTGCTAGCGCGCACATGCATGGGCATGTTCCCCCTGCTCCCTGGTTAATGGCATATGCAAGGTCCTCATGCGTTTATACGTTGATCGCGCTGATGTCCACTTGCCTCACCATCGCTAGTAACCAAAACTGGCAGACTTCGGTGTGTCTGAATTCCCCCGATCCGCACCCGATCGCAAACGCAACGGCTGCACGTGCATCGCTCTGAATGAAATGCGACCATCAACTTCGACATACTGGAGCACTGCTTGCACACCTGACGCAGCTGACCCACCTTCAACCATCCCGAAATACCCCAATGCTACAGAGGATGGTGTCACCAAACCCTGAGCAGGACTCCGCGACTGAATAAAGCGCTGCCCCCACATGCCTGCACCTCCGCTAGTTGCTGCCCGCGCTTTCTCACATGCAACATAGTCGGTGTCCGTCAGCGCGGTTGGCCCCCCAGGGTTTTCTTGATTCGAACGCGGTCAGCCACGTCTGCTGCGATCTTGAGGCACTTGCCCCGCGCGGGAAAACTTGCCCATGCCCCGCGCGGCGGGGCTGACGTGGAACGCGCAGACCCCTCGACTGAAGAGAGCACATCCGAAACTCCCTGCGCTAGAGAGCGCGCCCTGGCCACTGAAGCTTGGCACTCCTAATCTTCATGGCTTGGCAAGGGAATCCTCACCCCCTTCTTCGCGAGGTTGCGCGCCACCGCCCCCCCCCCCCCACCACCACCACCACCACCACCCCACCCCCACCCACCCACCCACCCACGCTGCACTGCTCGGGCAGGCACGGAGATGCGGCACTTCAGCTTGCAAAGAAAACGAGTGCACAAAACGCACGCGCACAACAGGGTGTGTCATAGAGAAACAACCACACCCCCAATGTTCGCACAGTAAGGAGTGCTTCTTCCTTCCACGCTGCACAGCGCAAGGGCTATCTCCAACGGTCGCCATCGCCGCTACCCCACAAGCAACTGAAAATGCGACGCATGCGATCAGGCGCTTGTCATCTCTGGCCGCACCCGCAAGTGGCACGTCGCGCGCAGTGCCCGCGGGTCGCGGGCGCGCGCGCAGCGGCTGGCTCTGCTGAAACTGCAGGGCAGTCTGGGGGGCGGCTTGAATAACAAGCGTGCGAATGCCGAAATAAAGACAGACATCACGCGCGTTAACTTGCTACGGGGTCGCAACTTCGGGTGCACGTTGGTTCCGCGCTGCTTTGCCGGCTTAGCCGCCACTGCGGGCGACGACGAAGCACCGGGGCGCGTGCGCCATGGCGGCGCAGGAAACGTCGCAGCCCCGAGCGCGCGATGCGCGAGACACCGCAGCGCCGCGCATGGAGCGCAGTCGCAGCACGGGACGTCTTGGCGCAACCCTGGGCTATGGCTCACGCGCTCCAGCGTTGCCCGACTGCGAGCGCAAGTGCGGTTCAGCTGTATCCCAAGCGCAGTGCAAGTGCACTTCAGGTGTAGCCCATGTAGTTCAAAGTACAAACCCAAAGCAATCCAAACGCAGCCGAAGTGTAATTCAAGTTTATGTCAGGTGCGTGTCTGGCGAGGAAGTGCGTAGCAGCTGTCGTCCAAGTATAGATCTTTGTCGGGGGAAATGTCAATGTTTGCTCGGGAGGTCCAAGGGAAGTTCCAGTGGGTTTCAAGCGCAAATCTGGTGTTACTCAACTGTGATAAATGCTCCAGACACGGCCCAATGATAGATGTCTCAGCGGGCCCCGGATCCGCCACGCAACATAATCCAAACGGGCTCGATGCCAAAATCCGGCTGATAGTACTGATCGCCTTCATGTCATTAGGTCAAGGCCCGAGTCTGCCTCGGTTTAAAATCAAATGCCTGTTCAACTCCCCCCCGAACCAATCGAGATCGACATCGCCACCGAATGAAAACCCATCATCCCCAGGCACCGTTCGCAAGCTCCGCCCAATGTTTGAGGGCGCCTGGCGACGCTTTCTCAGCGTCAGAACCAATATCGAGCGCAAAATCCACGCAACCATCTCTCCGATTGCTGGCGGTGCACTGGGCGCCGCGCATCGACTTAAACAGTCTCCCGAAAACGCCCAGTCAACCGCGCGACGGTTCGGCCTCGGCGCGACAGCGTGCCCGCTGGATGTCGATAGAACCAGCTTGAGCCCCTTCTCTCGCCCCCCTTGGCCATGCTGTACCCCCTCGGTAACTGCCGCAGTCAAGAGCACGCAAATGCGTTCTTCTCTTTAGATGTGCACTTACCTTGCTGGGCCGCCAGACGGGATCAGGACGCACGATTGGCCTCGTCACCCTAGTTGATCCCGGCCCCCTTCGCACTATAAACCGAGCGCATCACAAAATGCCGCATCTCCTGCCCCCGAGGTTTCACCGCGAGTCCTGGGCAAGCCCGCTGCCTGATACGTCATCCCCATCCCGTGCGTCATCATCCTCACGGTGAACCACGCGCGTGTCCTCCATGGTAGCTGGCCGCACTTCAGCAAGACTTACACAGGCCCCCAATGCCACTAGAGCTCTGAACCAGCCCCGGCGCCGACACGCTCCGCGAATCCGCAGATGCGGCTGGCTGTCTTGGGCAACCTGGCAGGCGAATCGCGGCGATATTTCGCGCCCCCCCGAACCCCCCCCCCGCCCCCCCCACTGACTCTCGCGGGCCCCGCCCCCGCCAACGCGCACTTCACCGGCCCCCAAGTCCTGTGTAACTCTGCGCAAGCATGAACTCCACATTGATCTTGAAGTCCCTGGGAGCATAAGGCGATAGGTGCCATTATCTTATCTGGCCAAGTTAGCGCGCGCCCATTGCCAGCGCCGAATTCAGTTCTCACCTGACCCCATGACTGCCAACGTTTCGCCCGACTCGTTCCACTCAACTACTGCGTCACAAGCTCTAAAAGAGCACCCAACTCGGTCGTCCGCAGTCATCTGGCCAACCAGCCCATGAATATAGCTCGGCCGAGGCGGTCTGGGCATGCGCTGGATCCCCTCGCTCAGCCCCGCATAAGTTATCTCGGTGCGTCGATGCTGACCCTGGCGCTTTACACTGGGAGGCCTTCCGACGCATGGGGATGTTAGTCACGAGCCGCGCGGGTTTCTTCATGAACGCCCTCGCGCTTCGACATTGCGCGCGGCGGCCTCGCGGC